ATTTTTTTACCACAACACCAAAAGGGTTCTGGCTTAGGTACGATAACTTTAGGTCTTAGACAAATTATGCAAAAGTCGTTAACGAACTTCTTACATTCGTGCATCGTATATTTATAAGATATTTTTACCTCCGTTTACGGTACCCAACACAGCAGCAGTAAGGGACTTTTCGCGCGGGTATTTCCCGCTGCCGGCGCCTTCGGAATAACGCGGGTAAAACCCGTGAATATACGACATCGATCGCGAGTCCCCCTTACTGCTGCTAACTTTCTATCAGTCAAGAGTCGTGTGCTTGGGAAACAATTCTTGTTTAAAAAATAAGTGGTTGACAGCTGATTTATTTATAGATGAATGGCTGTCAGCTGATTGGTCACAATAACTGATTTGTAAACAGCTGATTGATGGCTAGCAGATTGTTGGGTTGATTAATCAGCTGATTGGCCAATGCAATCATCTAAATGATTAACTAATCAATGATGCCCAAAATCAATCAAACCTACGTAATAACCTGAATTCCAGAACCAAATGACAAAATGAAAATGACCTTACCAACAACATTTATAGGTGTATGCCAAGGCAGTACCCCCAGAAAGCCATAGCAGCAGTAGAAAGAAAATCTAAACCAATACTGAGCTGTGGTTTCATTTAACCAATGTTGTAGATGCCAATACAATGTTCCAGGGCCCTTCCATACATGTGAGTAGATATTATTCTGACCAAACCCCAACACTGGTACCAACGAGGAACTATTTAAAAATAGCAACAAATGTGGCTAAATGAAATTTAGGTGAAGTTAAAATCGAGACAATGCATGCTGCTCAGCGGTCTTCCCAACAATGTGCGGGAGGGACTCAGGGTATTCTCAGGGGCTTACTTGCTGTGTTTGCAGTGCTGGTGGATTTGCACCAAGAGTTTTTCTCTCACCCTCCCTCCTCTGCTAATAGGTTCTCTACAGGTGAGTATATACTCCACTGAATCTCAGTGTGACAGGTACCGGTGGTGAGCTGTGGCCTGGTTGCCATGGCTACCTTCCAGCGGGGACGTGATCTGTTGCAACCTGAGCTCAACCTGGGCCAAGTTGTTGAAAGCTGGATTAGCACTAATCCAGGATTAACTCTATAGGTCTTAGAGTTAATCCAGGATTAGCACTAATGGGGCTTTGAACAACTTGGCCCTGGTACCTAATCCCAACTCATTTGTCGATGAGTTTAACAACAAAAAAAACCAGTCAGAGTCAAAATAATAAGTCTCTTATGTGAACATACACCTGTACATGATATAAATACTAATCTAAGGCAATGCCCTCTTCACTAATCCTACATGTAATATCTCAGATACCTAATTGCCGCCTAATGACAAAATCTCTATATCGTAATATAAACCCAATTGTAATGCTGAGCTGACTCACCCTATCAAGTAACAAAATATGCATTGTACATTGACATACCCTGTTTCTAGCGCCACTCTGATAAACCCCTTGCGATTCTTCAGAGTTAAACGATAGACATCTGGATGACAATCAGCTATCTCTGCCGCACCACCAACAACTAAAATCACTGAATGGCCTGGTCCTAGTTTAGTGAGGGCATACTTTAGTGAGTCTTTGCTGACATCTACAAATCCAAGACTCATCAGGATATCTCTGTACAGAAAAGCTTTCAGAAGAACTAAAGCAAACAAGTAAATGACATTAGGAAAGAAATTCTTTTCTGAGGCTCATAAGCAGCACTTGACATTAAGGGCCCAATTGTATGAAGTCTGGATAGCGTTGTCTGGCAGATAAATCCTTATCCAGTGGATAAGTCAATGCTGTTGTCCAATAAATTTATCCACTGGATAAGATTAATTATCCATCGGATAGCTCTATTCAGGCTTTGTTCATCCTTCTTAATTTAGGGAGGTATAGATATAGTATGAAACTATACAATATACAATCTCCTCAGACCTTTCCCACCCTTTGGAAATTCCAATCCCTCCATGCGGGGATGGGGTATGTATATTTTATGGTACTACACAATATACCCCCTCAGACCCTCCTGACCCCTTGGAATATCTAATCCCCCTCCGTGGGGGAGGTATATGGATGTAGATATAGGGAATTTTTTCTGGAACTACACTGCATACCCTCTACAGGTCCCTCCCTCTGGGCTACACTAGCAGTGAGTTAGCTGTGTCCTGTCTTTGATTACCTTAGATCAGAGGTTGTTAAAGGGTATCAGTAAAATCATAGTTAATAAATAAACTATTATATTACAGACCAAAATGTTTACTGAAGCAAACAAGTGTCATAGGTGGCATCAAATACACAGCAACTGAGGAGTGGGGGGGAGGGGGAAGGGGGCTTGGTGTATGCCTCATGAGAATGTTTGAGTTTAAGACACTCTGTAATGCAATTTGCAGTGTTTAGAAAGGCATTTGCGACCTTTTAATGAGGTTACTGCCTCGCTAAAAGGTCAGTGGCTATGGCCCTTTATTATCGACCATATACATACATGAGTGAACTGTCATATGTGGTTCTATTCCAGGAAACTTGTCTCTGAATCTAAGAGCATCCGATTGAATTGCAACCACTGCACCTTCACTGATTAACCCATGTGGATGGTACCCCAAAATGTAGTTCTTTTGGGGGTCCAGCTCAGATGTCTTTTCAAGAGTTATTGGGTAGTAATCCTTCATCAACTTGAATAATGGCAGTTTGATCATGAAGTCCTTACGAGGTCTACCCCCTTGTTTTGGGGTGTTGCGTTCAAAAAACATGTACCATCCCACATAGATCACAACAATAGGCCATGCTCTAGTAAAAAGCAAAAGGACGAAGGCTAAACCTTGGATATGACAACCTCCAGTCAAGGCTACTAGGTAAAAACATGCAACACACAGCACTTCCAAGATGTATCGAAGTGGTCTTGGCATGCTCATTGATCCAGTTGATGGTCTAGAGATTAAAATTTAGAATTACAGGGGCATTTTTTTACAAATTTCATGGACTCAGGGTCTCACAAAAATTTCTCTGAACCTAAAGAATTTTTCGCATTTTCAGTAAATATGAATTTTTTGATAAACAAGCAAGATGACAAATATTTTCATAATTTTTCGTGACCAACATATCCTAAGAGGTCTGGTTTGCTGGCTTCCGTCAATCCATGGTAATAGCAACCCACACCATAATTGGGACTTGTTAGACAGAAGCCAAAAACCCCGAGACATTTTAAATTTCAGATTTGTCTCATTTTGTCTAATTTTGAAAACAACATATTTTTCAGTGACCAAGTTCCTTCTCCAAAATCCCATAGCCCATCTCCCACCTCATAAATTATGAACGCTCCCAAAGCAATAATTGACTTTTTCGGCATTTTCAGTACAAAACTGGGGCACGAAACAGATAAAGCAAGAATTTCCGAGATATAATCTCGGTTCTACATCCAAGGTCAAGAAATGAGACAACGAAAAATGTAATTTTTTTCCGCCTTGTACAAGTTAAATGGCAATAATCCAGAAGAGATAACTAGCTAAAAACTAGTGTGAACTGCGTCGGTGTTTCTAATGAAACAGTAATGATAAAAAGGTAAATTATACACCGTGAAAAAATTAAAAAACTTACTGACAGTTCGGACGCTAGTCCTTCGTCGGAGTAAAAGGAGCTCTTTACGAAGGGCTAGCGTACGAAACTTCAGTAAGTTTTTTCATCTTTTCACGGTGTATAATTTACCTTTTTATCATTACTGTGGCAATAATTCAGCTCACCTCACAGGACTTTTATAACTTTTGTTGATACACCTCGATATTTGCTTTTGATTTTCTCGTATAGTAGCCTCGTGACTTGCACCACAGGAACCCCGCAAATTGAACACCCTTGCCCCCTCCTCTCTTAGGAGTGTGACGTATTTCCGGGTCCAACTGCTCACAAAACCAATAAAATAAAGCGAAAGCGTCCTCAATTATTTAACATCCACCTGAAACTTTAGAACTTTGGACGATAAATCCTGAAAGAAAAAATTATGAAAGAAATTTTTTGATAGGCTGTGATGTTTCCGTTTTGGAACCGGAAGTCGTTTTTTCAATGATTGACGTCATGTCTCGGGGTTCCTGTGCCAAATACAGGAATTCCAAAATGGCGGCGTCAACAGTGAAGTTAGAAGGAGATGCCTTTATGGTTTGTTTAATACACGCTCTCTCCACTGAACGTGAAGAGGTTATGGGTTTATTAATTGGAGAGGTACTGTAGCTACCATCTATATTAATTACACAATCTTTTCTAACGAAAATATTTCGAAAATTCATGAGGAAATTATGAAAATATGAAGTGTTGTCTTTGACTAGTATAGTTTCTTTTAGGTTGATAATGGTGTAACGCACATATATTCAGTAATTATGTTACAAAGACTTGACAAAAGGAAAGACAGAGTGGAGATTTCTCCAGAGCAGCTGTCAGACGCCTCAGATCAAGCGGAGATATCCTTACACATTCCTATAATGCAGCTAAGGTCTTCTCGATAATTAAATAGCAAAGAAACCTGTGCTGAGCTATGAGATTGACACTTAAATGAAGTGTATTATCAACATCATCATTATTCAATACTAATTCTCTTCATGACTATTCAGATGATTGCTTTTATTCTACAGTTTTTCTCATACGCTTGAAGACTGTGTGTATATTTTATCTTTAACCATTCATACAGACTTGGTAAACTTACCAAGGGCAAGAGACCTATGCGTGTTGTAGGCTGGTATCATTCACATCCACATATCACAGTGTGGCCTTCACACRTTGGTATGTACATGTAGTAAAAAAGGGGTTGGAAAAGCATTAATACTATTCAACCTTTTTTTTTTTTTTTTGTGAATACCTTAAAACAATCTCTGGGCTAACCAAAGTCAGAGCACATCTCACACACCAGGGCATGGTAAACTCATAGATCCAATCCTAAAGTAGCCCCTAAGCTAATCTAAGTCAGGGCATGGCTCAGTCACAGATTTAGCATAGCAGGAGAAGATGAGTGCAATACTGTTAGACTGACATTGAGTTCTTAACCCTTTACATTTTTAGACTTAAGAACACAAGCAATGTATCAAGTAATGGACGAAGGCTTCATTGGTCTAATCTTCTCATGCTTCAATGATGACACTAAATTGGTAAGAAATTGATTGACAGGTACTGCAATGTAAAACTAGGCCCATAATTGCTCGCACACAGTAAGAGTTCAACATGAAACGGATTGACTCTGTGTTGTACAATTTGCCAGGAACTGTTGAGCACCTTTAAAGTGGAAGAATTTTGTGGGCTATTATATGCTAGACTAAAGGTAGAAGAAACCAAAGCCCCCACCATACCCTTCCCCACCTTTTCCCAGCCTTGTGTTGTGGTTAAAAACCAGCACTCAACTGGTCCATTTTGCCACATTTTCAATTAAGTAATTTCCATTAATGTTTTTCAGAAAGGTCAAATTAAAGTAATATGTTTTCAGTCTGTGGATGTTAACATGAATAATGCACCACCCCTGTAAGTATCACCAGCATCAGTCTATTTCTTTCGAGTAATATGTTTTCAGTTGGTGGATGTTAACATGAATTATTGGCCACCCCTGTAAGTAACACCAGCGTCAGGTCTATTTCTTTCAAGCTTCGAATTCCAGAGGCCAGAAAAATGTCATGAAAGTTTGAGATGAGATGGGCAGAGCATCTTTTGTCCATGTATCCCTGATCAATTTGGGAAGCATTTGGGGTGTCTGCCTCACTGTGGTCATAAATTGTTTCTCATACTCCTCATTCATATGTGGATAGAGTTGCTCGTCACTTCTCTCCAGTTCTTTGAATGATTTTATCTAGGAAAATAAGTTTTTCCTCCCTACTCTAAATTCCAGTTTAATCTGGTTAAAACTCATAAACTCTGGCTCGAGAGACTCAGGAGTAATCATTCCCTATTTGGTGGGCATAAAAATATTGCATTTACATTACATTTCTTCCTAAGTTTCACATATGCCAGATTGACTGATTAAATAGAGCATTTTCACATGACATGACAGTGGCCATGTTGGTGTACCAAAGCATTTTCTGATCCTCTGGGAATTGCACTATATTTGTAGGAAAAAAACTGCACAGAAAGTTAATATTGTTTGGTACACCAATATGGCTGCCTTCTCACATGATTGAGAACACTCTTTATTATTATGCAGCTACTGATTGTAGTGTTCATTATAATATTTACGTTGTTCAGATACCAAAAGGAAGAAATAGAACTTCAAATCGTCCCTACAGCTACAATATCAGAAGCAAACCTTGACAGGTTAACTGAATTACCACATATATTAGCCAAGGTAAAAAATATACAAAACATTAATGATAAATAATAATAATATTTATTGCTTACAGTATATAGCGCAAATATCTATACAAATATTCAAATGCTCTTACTGTGTGGACATACTAACCGAGAATACTTGAATACCTTAAAACTGACCAATCAGATTGAACTGATAACAGTGTTAGCCAATCAGATTACTGCGTTCCAATGCTATCATTATATTTATGCGCTATCTGATTGGTTGGTAAAAAATATTGAATTAAATGTTGCAATATGATTGGTTATTGATACTGGTTTATCTAAGTGGTCCTGGTTGGAGTATCAGCACAGTAAATAAAGAATGTAATTAAATACAATAATTAACTAAACCATATTATGGTTTAATAATTAATTAAACCATAATTAAAATATGTAAATATAATAACTTATGAAGTTGATAATTAGAAGCTTCATATCATTAAGGAGGCTGTTACAGTAATCTATCCTGCCCGTAATGAAGGCATGGACAGAGTTGTTGCATTGTCTCCCTAGGAAAAAACCTTATCTACGTCTTATATTATGGATATAAAAGAATGCGCTGCTACAGGACTTATTGATGAGTGTGTTAATGTCAATACTAAGCCAAACTTAAATACTAAGCCATACATGGAAATGATTGAATGCAAATTGAAGTGATAGACTGAAAGTCTAATAAAGTTACATTATTATGCACTTTATTTCTTGTCAGGAAGAAGAAACAGCATATGAAAAAGTCATGAGGTATGTGTAGAATCCTATCACTAATCCTCACGGCCCAGTTATACGAAGAGTGGATAGTGTTATTGATGGATAAATCTTATCCAGTGGATAAATTTATTGGATAACAGCATCAACTTATCCACTGGATAAGGATTTACCATTGAATTGGATAGCACAAAATTAATCTACCCTTTGTACAACTGGGCCCTGTACTTTAATCGCACCTTCAAGGGTCTCAGGTGTTAAAAGTGATGATTGTCTTTTCAGGTCAACGGATTTGATAACCTTAATCCACAATGGAACAGGTAAAAACTTGCTTCCTACAATAGAATACTATTTGCACTTTATACATGTGTCGCAAGTGAAATGTTCTTCCTGAAATCACAGGAGCTCCATCAATATTAATCAAGAGTAATTATCTACTTTAAATATATTTAATTATGGTACTCTAAATAAGGAAGTTCTGATAGGAAATTATTTGGAAATTTTTCATAAAAACTTGAAACTTCAGATGTTACATACTGGTAAGATTTCTATACATTGCCTTTGCCTTATCTTTTAACAGTGAAGTGAATGAGATGGAATTTTACTAACACCATGTAAAAAGTGTGGAATTGTACTGAAGTGTGGAACTTATATAGTAACAGCTAGTTATTCATAATATTTAATTGTTATCTATTCCAGGTGATCTCAGAAAGCGTGCAAATTTATAAATTGTTATCTATTTTTACTTTGTTAGTCTTCACCAAAGCAGTATGCCAGTTAACTGAAGTCATATGTGGGCCGTTACTACAATTACTAGAGAACCGACTAGAGCTTAACAAGAGAAGAGCTTTAGAACTGGAAGAAGAAAAGGAGAGACTTATGCAAGAACTTAAAGAAATATCCCCAGAAGATATCATATAAAGACATCATACAAAACATTTTATTATATATTAGAGCACATGCAGAAAAGCCATGAAATAAAAACAAAGTTGATCCTGACAAATAGTAGCTATTTAGTGACTACTGTAATAGTTGCTATCACTCAACCAGAACATTCATGATACAAAGACAAATACACAACAGACCATTTGTGTCTTTCATGTAATGAATGTTGTTTGAGTGATAGCAACTATTAGTCACTGAATAATAGTTTGTCAGTATCAACTTTATTTCATGCTTTAACTGCATGCGCTCTAGTATAAATTGATGAAATATGCTAGAGGCAGTTTCTGTGAGGTGAAATTTAGAAAGGAAATAGACCTTTTAGCCTTGGACATAGTGTTTTCTCATTTCAGACCACGTGTCATTCTCTTGAAAGTAAGATTCTTAGTATGAGTTGTATCCATATTTATGTGTCTTCTCATGCACTTAACTGTTATGTTACTTTAGGGAATGACCCTGGTCTGAAATGGAAAAACATTACAGCCAATATAAAGAGGTTTTTACCTTGCAGGAATTATATTGTACATATTGTTTTACTCCATTAGAACTTTGTACATATATGTTAGAATTTTAATTCTCAATTTTTCTTAAGTCAATGCAAAGATATATGGCAACCTTTAACAACTATTTGCTTTCAGAAATTTTTAATATTTGCAGTATTAGTGTAATTTTACATTGAAATAAAACTCAATTTTCTAATTTTTTTTCTTTGATTTGTCTTTTGGGTTTGGTGCATTAGGATTTTCTCCTTTATAAAACTCCCTCAAAAGATTAACAGCCAATTCAGCATGCATTCCTGAGATACACTCAAGGGGTTCTCCAGGGATCACTCCTTGGTCCTTTTCCAAACAGCCATCTTTGGAGTAGTTGTCATTGTGGATGCTCAAAATCGAACCACACCCACCAAAACGTTCATTCTTGCATCCATATACGACTTTGTGCATGCCAGCATAGCGCAGAGCTGCTGCACACATAATACATGGCTCAACTGTGACATATAAGCTTGTATTTTGTAGTACACTTTTGTCATCAAGATTGTGCATTTGACACCAGTTTCTAACTTGATCAATGGCCACCATTTCTGCGTGTCTTGTGGCATTTTTAGTCTCATTGACTTCATTTCTTCCCTTTCCTATTATTTCATCATTGTATACCATTATACATCCGACAGGAACTTCCCCAGCCAACAAAGCATCTTTTGCCTGTGAAGATGGCAATCAATCTTAAATGAGGCAGGCATCTAATTTATCTAATGTGAGAGTGATTTCAGGTATGGCAGAGCTGGGCGAGCTTAGCCACCTACCGCCTCTACTTTTTACATATTGCACGTTACGTCATCGAAGTCTCACCAGGGAGAGTTGGTGCCATTTACAGCCATTCTCAATCACACGCACCGCTCTAGCGAACGTTTCTTTTACAACGAAGTAGCTTTTGGTGGACGTCAATCAAGGCGTTTCCATGACATTCTATAGGCACGTGCCCTTATAGCTTGTGTTTTCCGACAATCAATGGAAAAGCCTTATGATTGACGTCCACCAAAACCTTCTTCGTCGCAACAGAAATATAAGGAATATGATCTTTTTGCGCGAGAAAATGCCTTGCGTGAGTAACACACAAGTTTTCTAGGGACTTTTCTGCCTAATGCACAAATTTTCAAGACATTTTATTTTCTTATTCCATGTAAGACCAAGAAACAATATTTTAATATGATTTAAAACCGCAACCTTCCACGTCCTTGTTTTCCAGGTTTCTTCGACAACCAAAGCAGAAAAGAGATAAATAACCTTAAAACTTACCAAGCGAATTGCTTCGTCCATCCACTTCACGTCGTCCGCCATCTTGGACGAGAGGTAAAAAAAGAGACTGGCACTAAGGGGCAAGGCCGCTGTTCTTTTCTTCTAAACAGGTGTTTTTATATTTATTTATGTAAATTAACTGTCATTGTAGTGGAGAATACCTACAGATCGCGATCGAGAAAAACATGGCACAGAAAGAGGTAAGATCAATACTTAGACAGCTATCAACGAGCTACTAGTGTTACAGTAGAATAAAGCTTAAGATAATTTCAAGATCTTGTGGTTTATTTTTCGATTTTGTTTTTAAGATTTTGATTTTGATTTTAAGATTTTTTCATATTCGATGATTCTAGCTGGTATCAAAGGGTCGTAGTTTATTTTAAAATAGGTCGTTTTTGTATCCAAATTCAATAATTAAAGAAAAGCAAATATCACCGACACACTCAGTTACTTTATATAGACTAGCTGTCTTATAGTCTTTCACCTGATACTTTACCTGCCTATACTTAATCAAATTATATAATTTCACGCCTTGAGACAACAGAATTAAGTATATAAGTAGAACTTGCCTAACTCACAGATTGAACCCTGAAACAAACTCAAGGCTGATCAGAGCCAGCTCAGGGCACAGCTATATTTACAGATAGAATATAGTCCGGGCCTTCACAGTTCCCTGCGCCATCTTGAAAGGTAGCCGTGCCTTTGCATTGAAGCAAGACAAACCGGTGAGCTTGCAATGATTGAGATATGTGAATAATTGTCTGAAGGTGTTTTAAAAAGGTCTCTATCATTGCAAGCTTACCTTTCTTGCTTCAATGCAATTAGGCATGGCTACCTTTCAAGATGGTGCAGGGAACTGTGAATAGGGACTATTGGAAATTTAGTGTGTCAGGATTTGCAGAGGGAGGAAAAAACCCAAATCAAAGGAGAGACCTAATAAACATGTGATGCCAATAAAGCCAGGAATCGAACCTGAGATCTCAGCCTAAAGGTGAGAAGTGGGTGCACTATATCGCTACTATTACTATGGATTTCACCCTTGATTGCCCCGGGCCATACATGCAGACAATATTAGCATTTTTTATGTTAATTAAAATAGATATTGCAAAGCCTTGTGGGATTGAAATGCGAACAAACATTGCAAATAAAGGCTTCAATTACATGGAAAAGAAGAAGAATATCAATTGAAAAACCATAGTTCTTCCATGTGAATTGGAAACAACAAGACTACAAAACATTGTTGCAGCATGTGCGCTTGGCCTGGCTTGTCCATATTTCTATCCCATGATGCATTTGTGACATGATGCGTGGAAAATGCTATTCRTGGTATTCATTGTTTACTGAACAGGGTAACAAGCTATGGGGAGGCCGATTCACAGGTGATGTAGACCCAGTGATGGAAGAGTTTAATGCATCAATAGGCTTTGATCGGCGCATGTGGAAAGAAGACCTCGAGGTAACAAAATATTCATGAATATATCACTGGCCATAAATATTTATATTTTTGAAATGAATTTTGAAATAATAATTATTCATTGATTGACAGGGAAGCCAGGCTTATGCCAAGGCACTGGAAAAAGTCAATCTTCTGAACAACTCTGAAATGATGCAGATCATAGATGGTTTAGAGAAGGCAAGTAACCTTTATGGCCTGCTATTAAGAGTACATTTCCTTATTTTATTTATTATTCCATAGTATTTCTCATTATGAGTCAACCTTTCCCACCCCTGTATTACTTGGACAAGCACAACTCTCCCCACAGTCACCACCCTGGGGCATTTCCCTTGATAATAATGTGTTTTTTTCTATGAGCACAGATCAAAGGTGAATGGTCAAGTGGCAAGTTTGAGTTGAAACCAGGAGATGAGGACATTCACACTGCAAATGAAAGAAGATTGAAGGTAATAGGTATTAATAATATCACATGATGAAAGATAATAATGATGATTGTGATGATGATGATGATGGTGGTGATGATTGTGTGGTGGTGGTGATGGTGGTGATGGTGATGATGATAAAGACAATTTTGATAATGATGGTGATGATAACGACAACGATGATGATGTTGATGATGACGATGATAATGATGAAGGTGTTGATAGTGATAATTATCATGTATAGTAAGTGTTCTGATCTCTAACAATATTTATATTATTCTCAGGAGTTAATTGGAATTGTTGGTGGTAAGCTGCACACAGGAAGAAGTAGAAATGATCAGGTATTCCAAAAAATGCCTAGCAAATTCTACTAGCCTTATAAAACTATAAGAATCAAAAATTTATATTTTAACTTTATTCATTAATTATATTATTTTTTCCAGGCACAAGTAGATGCTAGGTAAGTTTCATAAGCCCTTGATATATCAACAGTTTGAGTTTTTGGACCCATAGAATTAAATAATTAAGATAAATTAATCGATTAATTAATACTGTTTGATCAAATTAAGTTGATTAAATTGATATATCAACAATTTGAGTTTTTGGACCCATAGAATTAAATAATTAAGATAAATTAATCGATTAATTAATACTGTTTGATCAAATTAAGTTGATTAAATTGATGATTAAATTCTAGGTTATGGCTCAGGTCTGAAATCAAACGGCAAAAAGAATATCTTGCAGATTTTTTGAAGACAATCATCAAAAGAGCAACTGAGTAAGCATTTTGTTTAAAAAAATGAATATATTTACAAGAAMACCCTCACTGACTCAAAGTTGAAAAACTGGAGAATACAGAGGAACACCCTGAAAGCAGAGGAGCAGGGGAGGTTCCAGGGTTGTGCTTTCAAGGGGCATCCACCTGTAAAAGATAACAACCAAATAATAATAATGATGCAGTAATGATAAAAGGGTACTATTACTCCGACGAAGGACCAGCGTCCGAAACGTCAGTAAGTTTTTTAATCTTTTCACGGTGTAAGATTTACCCTTTTATCATTACTGTTTCATTAGAAACACTGACGCAGCTCACACTAGTTTTTAGCTAGTTTTCTCTTCTTAATAATGATGACRATGATGATGATGATGATGATGATAATAGTAATAATTAGGTGCCCCACACTATATTAAAAAGACAAGCATTTTAACCAATACACCATCCTTCCATCACATGCTTGTAGTTATTCATGTATATATTATTATTTTTTAATTCATAGTGAAATTGATGTCATAATGCCTGGATATACCCACCTACAGGTAGGAAAGGCCAGTTAATCATTTGTCTCCATAGCAGCACAGGAGAGGCCTCTCCCCCACCCCCCACCCTACCCACCCACCTCTGTGGCATTTCTTCACCCTCATCTCCAATAACCTTGTGTCACTTCAATTCTAATAAATATTTGCTTAATATTAATCTTTTTAAATGATATGATTTCTTTTCAGCGTGCTCAGCCAATCAGATGGAGCCACTGGTTGTTATGGTAACCATATCTCTTTTGTTAAATTATTGTTAAACGAAGGTTTTCAATCAGTTGAAATTTTTGTCCCTCGGTACAGAGAAATATTGATATGAATGTTTTGATTTCAGTCATGCTTGGGCTTTTCAAAGGGATGCAGAAAGACTTCATGAAGTTGCATCACGAGTAAATGTTCTTCCATTGGGAAGGTATTGACCAACACAAGTGTTGAATTTACTCCGCTATTTTTATCAAATGTTTTCTAGTACATACTAGAGTTACACCTAAAGTTGTTCTCAATTCTGTATAGTGGTGCTCTGGCTGGCAATCCGTTTGGCATTGATAGGCGTTTCCTTGCAARAGGTTAGAGTTTTCACCGATGTGTGTATTCATCTATAATCCATCTATCCATTCACTCACCCATCCATTATTCCATTTATAAGTCTGTCCGTCCCTCCGTCCGCCCAACCATTCATATGTCCGTCCGTCCGTCCTTCCATTCCTTCATTCATATGTCTGTCCGTCCGTCCGTCCGTCCATCCACGATCCTACCACGCTATCAACTATGCATTTGTTCGTTCYTTCGTTCCTTTCTTATTCACTAATTTATTCATCCAACATGGTAGCCCAAGATAATTCTTCAAGTGTGTGTTTTGTAGAGCTTGGTTTTTGTGAGATCAGCGGTAACAGCATGGACGCAGTTGGTGACAGAGATTACATTGCCGAGTTCATGTTCTGGGGGACGATGGTTGCAACGCATTTGAGGTAACGCATACTCAGTAGAAATATCCCTCTTTCCTAGCCTGCGTTTAACCGGTATAGTTTCTCTCGAAATAACATATAATAATATATTTCGAGAGAAATTATGCCGGCTGAACGCAGGCTATCTATTGATTCCATGATCGAATTGGAATATTTTGAGGTGGGATGAAAACCGGAGAATCCGGGAAAAATCCGAACCATAGAGTTGAGAGGCGGCGCATTTGAAGCGCACATCCAACCTTGCTTCCCTCAAGTTTCTGAAATGACTAAAAACGTGAGAAAACCTGYGATAAAACTACTGCGTGTCACGAAAAGCAAGTGATTGGCTCAACGGATTTCATCGGCGCGGTCACGGTACGGATTTTAACTGACATACATTAAATACAAAGTTTTCAGGTCTGTGCAACCATGGTCGAATTTAAAAACGGATAAGATTTTTGGTTTCTGTTTTTGTTTTTAGTCGTTTGGCCGAAGACCTTCTCATCTACAGCACTCAGGAATTTGGTTTCGTGAAGCTCTCTGATGCCTATAGGTGAGATAACACAAAGACGCCTAGAATAATGGTGGCTCTCTTTACCTTTGGTGTAATGTTTCCCATTTCAGACCACGTGTCATTACCTAGAGTATCATTTCTTTGTTTAACGGTTACGCATGAGAACTGACACACGAATATGGATGCAACTCAAACAAAGAATATTATTCTCAAGAGAATCACATGTGGTCTGAAATGGGAAAACATCATGACCCACAAGGTAAAACAGTCTATTACAACATTTTCAAACTATTTGGTGGGACATTTTGGTTTTTCGTGTTGGTTTTTTCGTGACTTTTGATTGGTCCAGAGGGGAAACCATTGGCATGTCAACATATTTGGTTCCCACTTAAAAACTTTTATCTCTCAACAGCACAGGAAGCAGTCTGATGCCACAGAAGAAAAACGCGGACAGTCTTGAACTAATACGAGGAAAATCTGGCCGAATATTTGGACGAGTGAGTCATCTTTTTATTATTTTTTTGTGTGTGTGTGTTTTTTTTTTTTTTTTTTGTTTTTTGTTTTTTGCGTCTAAAGAAGAAAACATTTTCCCGCGCTTTTTGTTTGGGGAAAAACTTTAAATTGGATCCATTCTAAGTATTAAGGTGTTTTTGCTGCTTGGACAGTTGTTAAAGATTTATTTTTGTGTTTCTTCAAGCATATTTTTCTCGGAAATCCATTCTATCTGAAGATTTTTTACGAAGATACCAAAACTTTGTCCGCACTTTTTAGTTAAAAAATATATGGATCTATGTACCTTTGCTATCCAATGGCTTTTTCAAGGTATCAAAGGTTTTTCCGGGCTTTTTGGTTTAAAAAAACCTTTGGATTCATCCCTACCTTCTTCAAAGTTATCCGAGTCAAAGGTTTTTTGGCGCTTTTTTCATTGGAAAACCTTTGGATCTGGCTTTTTTATATTAGTCTTTCATGGTCCAAGTAAAGTTGTTGTAGTTGTAAAAGAGAAATTTTATAATTGATCTTGTATTTTTTTCAGTGTTCAGGATTCCTGATGACATTGAAGGTAAAAATAGGAAATCATTCAAACCATTTTAGCAATATTCCAAACTGTTTTAATATTTTAATTTTCGTTTAGATTGGTTTTCATAAACCCATGAAAAGGATTAGTAGACCCTAATTCAATTGTGTTCTTTTGTTTTCATTAATTTACTATTCTTCGATTGCACGTTACCTCATCGCGGCCATGTTGGTAACATTTAACAAAAGATTTCTCATTAGCAAGCATCGTTAACGCCACCACAATGGCCGCCACGTTTTTGTCTTGTAACTCTCTTGGGAATTTTTGCAACCCATCAATTACACACTAACTAGTGTTATCTGTTTCATAGTTATATATAAATAATATAATTTTCTTCTCTTCGTTTTAGGGTTTGCCCAGTACATACGACAAAGACTTACAGGTCAGCCGTATTTTTGTATTCAACTCAGTCGTAACTTATAAAGTGATTTTATTTGGCCCTTGAAACAAAGTTGTATCGTTCTTTAGAGGCTTTGCACCATCACTTGATGGCAACCATGACATTATAGAGGCATAAAAATAGTCTTTTTACCCTGGGAAACTGAATTCTTTCTTATGTAAATCATATTAGACCAGGTTTAATTGTTCCTGCCTCCTCCCATGTCTGCCATTACATGATGGTACAATAATCAACGCTTTCTCTTATCGAGATCCTTCAATTTATTTTCAGGAAGACAAGGAGCCCTTGTTTGATGTCTGTGACACGTTACGTGGTCTTCTTCTTGTTGCTACTGGTACTCTCGCCACTTTAACAGTAAGGAGAATTGAGTGATTTCACTAAGCGTTTTTCATATACAATGTATAATGAACGATTGGATTAATATCTCGATAGATTAATAAAGAGAGGATGAATGCAGCTCTCAGTCCAGACATGCTGGCTACAGACTTGGCTTATTATCTTGTGAGGAAAGGGGTAGGTAGTTGTGTCATTATCATCTTCATCAGTCATTATCATCATCAGCCATCATCGGCCATCATCTTAATCAGCCATCATCATTGATAAATCATCATCAATCAGTCATCATCATCATCAGTCATTATCATCATCAGTAGTAGTTATAATCAGTAGTAGTCATCATTATCATCATTGTCAGCCATCATCATCAGTCATCATCATCATAAGTGGGTCCCCCCTCCCCTGCCCTCAATAGAGGAAGGCATACCTTCAATAAATCTTTTTATGAATTTTAGGTCCCATTTCGGCAGGCTCATTCGTTATCAGGAGGAGTTGTCCATCTTGCTGAACAGAAGAACTGCGCACTGAATAAACTGACAGTTGAAGATCTTAGAACAATCAGGTATGCCAACAGGATTTTGCACAGGGCAGATCTAGGGGTTGGTCATATTGGCTACCACCCTTCCCTCCCCTATTCTTCCCCCTCCCAGGTTTGATTCCTGGACCCTGCATCACATGTGAGTAGAATTTATTAGGTCTCTCCCTTGATTCGAGGCCAGATTCAATTCTATCTGTGAATTAGCCATACCTTGATTCGAGGCCAGATTCAATTCTATCTGTGAATTAGCCATACCTTGACCTTGATCAACCCAAAGGTTATTTCAGTGTATTGATAAAATTCAATCCTTTTGGGGGGGGGGGGGTGGGATGGGGGTGAGAATGCCTGAAAACACCTAATATCAAGCTTTGCAAACTTTATTTTCTTTCTCGATAGCCCTCACTTCCAAGACGATGTGAAGATAGTTTGGAACTATGAAAATAGTATTGAACAATATAAAGTTGAAGGTGGGACAGCCAAGGAATCAGTGCAGGAACAGATCAACAAACTTCACCAGTGGATAAACTTATATCTCACAACTAAATAAGTCATAGAATGTTCATATCCATGTACATGTCCAGGGCGGTGACACCTTAAAAAGTTAGATAGACATTATTATTATTATTATTTAAGGAATAATTTACAATTGGCATTAAATAGGCTATAAAATGAATGTTTATCAAGGAGTGCCTCGAAAATGCAGGAAAATCTGTACTATTTCCTACATCCCCGGCCTAGAAACTTTGAAAACCCTTAGATAAATAGGCCTCTAATTGTAAGATATTACTTCCGCTTACAAGAGATTACTTCCGTATATTATGCGTGTATCTATTAATTAGCATAATTGCACGTGGAAAATAAAAGCAGAATATTAAGTGAGTCCATCTTGTTTCTTGTTGTGGTTAAACTAAAACACTTATGCTTAAGCGTAATGTTTTGCCCATTTCAGATCAAGTGTCACTTCCCTAGAAGATTATTTCTTTATTTAAAAGTTTGAAAAATTCACACAACTTTACAATACACGAAAAAAAAACGGGAACGAGATTACAGGATATCTCTTTACATCGAAGAGAATTCCTTGTCTTGATATGTGAAAATATCCGTAGACAACGCAACGTCTTCAAGAACTTTTACTACACTGATTTAAGCTTAGTTTGGGCCTACTTTTATGGGAAAACCTGCATTCTTAAGACCTTACACATCCTACGYAATGTTGCACGCCCTAGGCGCAAACAGGATGTCCCAAACACGAACTTACGTAAACAAGCGCCAAACCTAGGCATGACTCACTGTAATGTAATTACGTACGGAAATTATTTCTTGCTTACGCATTTTCCACGCAAACAGTTAACTAAAGAATTACATTCCTATGTGTACACGAGGCATTCCTAATTAAAAATATAGATTTATGACTAAATAATTACTGTCCAAAATAGTGTCTTTTGACTCTGTCACATAGGAATGGCCAGTAGGAGTCTAAAATGTAAAGTACAGCATCACATCCGGTCTAGAGTGCAAATAATATACCCGTGAAATAGTTAGGATTAAATAGGAGATAGTTACACATAGGAATTCAGTGAGACATGACAAGGGCACGGGCGTTTACTAGAATAACAACTCATTACGCAAATGAACGTTTTTTTCTAACAAGTTTATTGAATTGAGCTAAAAATCAAGACACAAGACGCACATTTAATTCTGCAGTAAATCATGACACAAAAAACCCAATACGCAAATGAACGTGTTATCTACCATTTTTATTTGTTTTATCACGCTAAAGATCAAGACAAGACACATTTATAAACTAAAACAAATCAAGACTCAAACAACTATAGCTAAAAAAGACCCAGTCACGGCAAATGAACGTGTTTTCTACCATTTTTATCTTTATATTTTTTATAATTAAAATTTGTAGTACATCAAAATCGTTATTGATTAGATAATTTAAAAAGCAAGTTAAATATAAATTCGCCAAGGTCTTCCATAAAATCTTTTTACTTGTTCCYTGGAAATGGCGAGAAAGGCATAAATTACTCCAATGTGCATGTTGTGTTCCAGTACTCCAGGTGACTTCTGCGTATTGGCTTTGGCCAGCCCAAAAACCATTTCGCTTGAACCGTATTAGCCCTACTTGTTTGAGCTTCGTAGAACGCCACTTTAGCTTCTGCCCGCAGTGTGGACAATTAATGAAGAAAAACTATCGTCGTTTGTAATTTAGCTTTAAGAACGAAAAAGCAATGACTTAAACACTTAGACAATTTGAAGATTATACAGTCATCAGCTGAATATCAAGTCATAAAACATGAATCAAGCTCCACTTGTTGTTTAACAGATACGAATTCGAAAATGCGAACATGTCAAATTATACGAAGGAAAAGCATGTACAATAAAATATTGTTTCAGTTTTTGCAAGCGCCCTTGAGTAGCACATGTGCACTAGTTCATCCGTCACGGCTCGCCTATTTCTTTGACTAATTGACTTAGGCAACCAATAGCACAAAGTTAGCTAGCTATCTATTTCACGGGTATATTATTTGCACTCTCCCCCATAGTAATCCAAGAAGCATGTCTTTTCCAAGATAGCTGTACATGCTGTACGGCTTTCCATATTATAAAGCCCAAACAGAGCTAACAGTTGGGGTTCGAGTCTGCTTATCTACGACTGTTTCTTATCTACGCTAGTTCTTGCGGGTATTTTAATGATATACCGGAAAGAGAGCCAGGATACGATTTTCAATGGTGAAACCAATGTTTTGACCTAAAGCTTCTTTGGAAACTACGCCGTTTAACTGAGAAACGTTCGTTTACATGGGGATGTGGTTGTTAAGAAGTGTTTYGCTGAGATTTAAAGGAAAACTAGCAAGGTTTGTTGTCATTCTTTTGGTGTTTCTTGTCGCATTTAATTTTTTCCTTTTCAAACGAGAAACTCGAGACGAGACAGATAGATCTAACCACTTGAAAAGTATTCTAATAGACACTGAGAACGGTGAAAAAACGTTTAAAAGCGAGTTAGAAACTCGTTTGAATGGTCTACATAGGGCCGGAGGAGATGGCGGTAAAAGGAAACGTCGTTCGGGTAAAAATTTGAAGCATTCTCTGAGAAAAAAGTTCCAGGGAACAGAGAATGTTAATTCGGAATTAGTGACAGCGACCAAATTACAAGATTTGATCGAAGAAGTATATCCGTCCAATTCTATAAAACATGAAAATAAACCACAAACAAAACCATTACAAAATAAAGAAGGCGATAAAATCAGCGAAGAAAGCATGGAAAATGTTGATAGAGAAGACAAATTGGTTGCTAATCCAGTTGAACGTGAGCTAATTCCGTACTCTTGTCCCGAATTATTTATTTCTCGTATTGAAGATATTCAGTATGGAAAGTGCAAACCCCATAAACCGACCCTTGAATCTTGTTTTTATGCTGAACAGTTATATTTTCTGGACAAGAATTTAATTAAATGTAAGAATAAATACACGGTAGAGATCTGCAATGTCAAACTAGACAAAACATATCAAGATATTGGGGTATCGAGTATCCACGTTAAATGTGACAGATCTTTATGCTCGGAAAAATGGTATTCGACGTCTTTGGCTGTGTGGACTCTGGATCCCCGGAATGGTGAAATTTCAAGGCTACAGTCCTTCTCTTCAATCATAAAAATGGAGGAAGAATTACCACGAATTATGATAGAAACTATCAAGAAAAAGATTAATTTCGTTGTTCTCAAGTGTTCAAGAAGAAAAGATGGCGAATCTGTATCACAATTAATTCCAATTGATCCTCGATTGACTATAATAAAAAATGCGGGAACTAAAAATTCTCGACCAAAAAAAGACATAAATGTAAATATTCTGCTCCTGGATTCTGTGTCAAGAGGCCACTTCTATCGTTCTCTCCCGAGAACTATAAATTTATTGAAAAACTGGTCGAGTTCGGAAATAGCACCGGCGAATGTGTTTGACTTCGAACTGTTTCAAGCAATACAAGGCCATACAGCCGAGAATACGCATGCGCTATTCACTGGGAAGACCCTTCCGCCTCATCTTGAAGACGAGTTCCCTCCCGTAGAGATGGGAGTCGCGTTTGGGAAGTATGTTAAAGCTGGTTACCAGACCCTTTGGCAGGAGGACCTTTGTTGGAAGGGAAGCTGGGGATTAATGACAGACATGGCTGTGATGGAGTGGGAAGAGTTGGCCTACAAGCTACGAGAAAATTTCATCRATAGCATCGGTAATAATTTGCTTTAGTATAAATACACAGGTGATTATTGAAAATCTCGCGCTCTGATTGGTCGAGAAACTCACACTATTACACGATAATCACCTCCAGCGATAATCCAAAATGGCGGCCAATCGCTTTGCTGCTGTTACCGGAAAAAAGTCTTTTATCTTCTTTTTTTCCTTTTTTTTGAAAGAATCACCTGTGTATTTATACTAAAAAAATTATTTGCTCGAAGACTCGCGTCTCGGTAAATATTCCCCGATATTCACTTCGCCTTCGGCTAATAATTGTTAAATAATATAAGACAAATGTGAATATACCAGTTTCGAGTTCCGAATTACCGCTGTGTTCCTTGATTACAGACTGTTTATACTCAGGATTAACCTCCTATCAGCGTCTAAATATTCCCAATTAACAACGGTAAAGTAAAGAATCAAAACAGAAACAGAGAACTCAAAACTGAAATATTCTTGTGTTTTGGATTGTGCCTGCTTTCAAACTAGTTATGGACTTCTGACGGGGCTAAAATGCGGACAGATTTTAAATTTTTCGAGCACGTAAGCAGAAAAAAAAAAAGCGCGGAAAATCATGAAGGAATTACTATACGCCAAATAGAAATGAATATGGCGACCAATTTAAACAACATAGTTCTCGAGTTCACTTGGAAACACAAAAGCGTTTTCACATGTACGAGATACTAGTCAACCCCCCTCCCCCTCCCTCCCCCCAAAATATTTATTCAAATTGGTCGCTATATTTCGATTCGTTGAATAGAAACCACGTTTTGGCCATCTGGTTTGCTGACCAGTGGAGTGCGGACTCGATTAATCAAAGAAACTGCTGACCAGAACTACCACAGACTCGATGAGTGTTTTACTGCCTATTAAGCAGTTGACTCTTTGATTGCTACAACCAGTAAAATATTACCTTTTCTACTTGTTTTTTAAGGTATCACTCATTCTAGCTGCGAAATCTTGAAAGCTTACCACCTGGTAACGCCTTTCAACGGCCCAAAAGGCGACCAAATTTGCTACAATGGAAGATTTCAGCATGAATATCTCATGAACTACACTCTGGATACTATAGACGCCATTAAATCCACACCCACAGCTCGGCCGCTCTTGTCCTACATGAGCTTGAGCGTCGGGCATGATAACAACGGGAGACGAATCCAGACGCTTGACCAGTCATTGGCTGATTATGTTGACAGACTAGGAAAAGATGAAAACACGTTGACTCTCATCCTTGCTGATCATGGGAACACGTATACAGAATATACCGTAACGATTCTTGAAGGGCGCTTTGAAATGTACCATCCAAGTCTATTCATGATTGTACCAAAGAATGTGGCGAAGATGCTTGGAAGCAAGGCTATGAGGGCACTAAGAACCAATCAGCGTCGGTTAGTGAATATGTATGATCTACATCACACCTTGATGGCATTAGCAGGTCCCCTGGACAAGGGGCGTGTCTCACCTCGGGGGGTATTCACGCCAATACATATTAATCGGACATGCAATGATATCAAGCTTCTTACTCCTAATCTGTGCGTGTGTGAGGGATGGGACAGCCCTACTACTAACGACACACTAAAGATATCACTGGTCGAGTTCGCTGTCGGTGAAATAAATAATTTAATCGATAAAACGTTTTTGGAAGGCTCAAAGGGGAAGAAAAACTCGTTCCCATTACTGAAGTCCTGTCGTAGATTGGTTCCTGTAAGGTTTGAGAACGTCCGAGAGAGGATTAATCAAAAGGGGTTGTTGCGAACGACGATGGATATCCATGTCAAATCCCTCGAAGAAAATCCTGGCCAAACAGAAACATTCCAAGTTGAAATTGAATCGAAGGAAATCCCAGATTCAAACTCTATGGACCTTAAACTCGTCCACTTTGATCGTATGTCGGTTTTCGAGAAGTACAAGAAATGTAGTGATATTGGAGTCAGTCCCTTACTCTGTATATGCTCCAACACCCCAAAGCCACACCTGCTTGATGATAGCGAGCGTAAGATCGACATTTCCATTGTAAAAAACATCCTTGATTCATTTCAAGCACAGGCTACGGTCGAGTTCGTGGACGAGCAAGAGTGTGTGTTACTTGTTCGACGACATCATTCCAAGGAAAGCTTTAGCACAGAGTTGGCTAATTTATGTCTGGATTTTGATATCGCTGTGTTCGTTAAGGTTGATGATCTCGATAACATGAAGCTTTCTCGAAATTTGCCTGCTGAGTTTAGGATTCCTGCTGGAAGCGTGCGATTTGTTTTCGCCGCGAGGAAGGACCTCGACTATTGGACAAGCAGTTTTGACATCAAAACACGCGTCACAAAAATTAAAAATAGATCTCATTGACGAGCAATTAAAACAAATTGATAGAAATCACGTGATCTATTCCAAATGACGACCAATCGAAACAGAGAGCAAGTTACTTCTTACAGTAATCAAATGACCTATAGAGGTTTTGCACCATCACGTGCCGGCGCCATAATCCAGCTTGGACTGCCTGTGGTTAGATGGCAGAACAATAAAATCCCTTTCCCTCTCGGGAATTGAATTCTTTCTCATGTAAAACAATTGTATTGTTCCTGCCATCTAACATGGCTGCCGTCACGTGATGGTGCAAAACCTCTAGCAAATGACTTCTTCCAGAATTCATAGGACCGGTTGAAAATGATGACCAATCAAATAGAGAGAGCACGTGAATTCTTCCAGAAGTCACACGATGTAAATGACCAATCAAAACAGAGAGCACGTGAATTCTTCCAGAAGTCACACGATGTAAATGACCAATCAAAACAGAGAGCACGTGAATTCTTCCAGAAGTCACACGATNCAAAACAGAGAGCACGTGAATTCTTCCAGAAGTCACACGATGTAAATGACCAATCAAAACAGAGAGCACGTGAATTCTTCCAGAAGTCACACGATATAAATGACCAATCAAAACAGAGAGCACGTGATTTCTTGTCACTGATAAACAACAAAAAATAGTAAAACAGATGAACCACGTGACTTCTCTGCAACACATTAAGCAAGCAGTAAGTTATACACAAACCACGAGACCGACTATCACGTGGTGTTATTACATTAAAACTCATAAGGAGGAAAAAATCTATTCTAAAATAAGAACAAATAATATTTTCTAAGATTTTTAGAATTTCAAAATTAATGCTGATACATTACGTACAAAAAAATTGATTAAAATAATTCACGCGAAAATTTTCCCCGTTGTTATTTTTGTGTCTTGACAGCTTGGTTATCACTTATTGGTTACAATCAATTTTTGATTGAGCGTCAGTTTTTGTTTTACACAGTGACCCACGGCTGTTTCAATTCAAATAAAAAGCGACATTAGGTTCCAGGAGCACGATTGACCGAAATTACGCGGTCAGCTGCACCGTAACGAGGCTTTTAAAATGGCGCCGAGAAGGATCGTTACTTATGAAAGAAAGTGGTTGTTTGCGGCGTTTTTATTTATTTCATGG